TGCAGTTACTTGAAAATCTGATTTATAAACTTTTAAATTAAACATAAACTGACCAAATTGTTTGTGATTTTAAGTTAATATAGGTAAAAACTGCTAAATGTTACATTTTAAACTCTGAAAAATCGATGAATATCGAATAATTTGCCATCAACGGCTTGGGATCATTTTGGGTGTAAACTAGTGATATCCTAAATTGAATAGAAATATATATAACGTTCCACTTATATTTGTTTATAAAGTTTGCCAATTTTAAATTGTAATTTCTTAATGTTCTAATGCTCCTTGCTTAAGAGACAGACAAAGCCCCAAAAACCTTATTGTTAAAAATGTATTGATCATAAATCAAAATTAGAGTGCACTTGAAAGTTCGGCTTTCAGTGGGAGTGTCCCTCTCTAATTTGGGTGGTGTGTTGCCGAACTCCATTAAGTTGACGCGAAGAACTTTGCGTTTGTGGTCGCTGCTTGTTGCTCATATCGTTGTTCTTGTTGGAGTGTCCAAAATGTGTAGTTGTCTCTACGAAGGGAATGCCACCCCGAGTTTCTCAATGGAATAGGAAGCGGGAGGAAAAAGGCAGTGGGAGGAGGTCAACAAAGAGCATTCTCATATACATGTTCATGAACAGGGACAGACGCCCACAGGGGAGAATATTCCCCTCCTCTTCAGAGTCCCCACCTTCAATGGACACACAAACTTATTTCAGGGTTCGGGGGCTCTGTTGACGAACCGACTCTATTCATAGTACTGACCTACGGCAAAACATACCCATCATCATGTCGGACTTGTGTTGATTTGATGACAAAAAATTTGTCATAAAGAAATCTAAAGGAGACCTATGCCTTACGCTTTAATTATTTTGCGCCATAAAAACTTTAGGTAATTGCATTTGAAGCTCACAATTTTTCTTAGATCTTGAACAAGAACAAGAAGTTGTTGTTGGTAGGTAAAAGGTTTAAAAAGAAGAGAACTAACTCTAAAGCCTAGGTGGCTTTTTTATTGAGAGGAAAAGGAAGAAAATAGCAAGAGACCTTTTCCTTTTCCTCCCAATCTATCCATTCCAATAAGCTGCTGCCTTTTACAAAAAATATCAACGCACCCTGTGGGAAGGGAGGAGCAAGCGGATGAATCTGCCACACTGGGGGAATAAGGACTCTGAATTGGGGAGAGGAGCTGGAGGATGAACCGTCTCCACATCCACGTACACAAAACAGATAAATGGTAGCAAGTTTTTAACAAAACCAACGGAACGGGCAGTGCATTGAGCTCAGACATTTCCTGTCCCATGCATCCTCAAAGTAAAATTCAAGGAACTTATTTCGAATACAGGATACCTGGTAAGAAAACATGCATATTTTAAAAATGTCCACTTTGTTGTAGAGCCTTCCTCTTCTGAAGAATTCAAGGTTATTTTTGGCTTTGTGCTATAAATCTGTGCTTTCCTTATGTGGCTGACCATCCTTATTGGAACTCATTATGTTGGGAAGAATGCATGTGCAACTATGCTACCTACAGAGTTCTATGATAATACTATGATAGAAACATAATATTGAATCATGCAGTGCACTTCTTTATAACAAGAAAGACAATCTTAAGGGTATAGCTTCCTTCTGAATCAGAATATCATATAAAAAGGTGGGTCAATCTAAGTTATTACTGCTACGATAATATACCCTTTTAATCTAAAGTGCAGGGTACAAAAGGAAACCAACAACGACAACATGTAAAATTATGCGTCAGTAGGAAGGAAAAGTTTATGGGGTGACCCCAACAAAGTCGAAAGAAAAGGAGAATCGCAGACAGAGACGGTCCAAGTGCATTCACTGTCCCTCAAACTCACACAGAGATAAAGGAAAATCGCAGGGGGAGATGAAAAACAGGCAGCCAAAAGGCGAGAAAGAGACAGGACCGAGCACGCAAATATGCCAAAGCTTGCAGAGACAACAAACAGGAAGTACGCATTTCCTGCACCCGAGAAAGAAAAGAAAAAATAAAATAAAAACATTCCAGGGAGTAGGAATGGCTGGGGAAAATGGAGAAATCAGGGGAAGAATCTGAGCAAAGGGAAACGCAGGCGAGACACAGTAGAAATGTCGCGACGACAACTTTTTGACACAAAAGTGCCTGGAAAACAGTTTTTCTTTAGTTTTCCCTGCCAGTCGCCCTTCGCCGTGAAATTAATTGAAACTGGCTAGACCTCTGGGGGAGGAAATGAATGAGGTAGACTTGCAGACTTGATCTTGACACTGTCCCTTGGCAATGTCCCTGAACTTGCCAAATACTACATCCTCCCTTGACAACCAACAGCCCCTACTAATTTCAGGGATGCGGTGTCAACTTGCATTTTTGTAAGCAAATTTTATAAAATTATGATAAATATATTTTTATAAGAAAAAAGATTATAATATATGGGGTTGTACATTATGTGAATCCTGTGAAAAAATATTTTTTTTATTTCAGATATAGGTTAATCAAAAATATGGAAGACTATGATGAAGACGAAAAAAAAGGAGAGTACCTAATGTAATCGTATAGAAGAAAAAAGTTTAGTTCTACTTTGCCTATTTTGAAGTATTAAAGATTTGATAAGATTAACTTTTAAATTGTATATATGACGTTCGAGAAAGGGAATATAATTTAAAACTAATTTTTTAACTACCTGCAACCTAATAAAATGTATTTCAAACATTCGTTCTAATATAATTTTTAGAAAAAGTAAACCTATGCTGAGTAGCAAAAATATATTTATTAAGTTTATGATTTGAGTCCGGATCTTGAATGTCCCGGTACTTGTAAATGTCCACTCAGCAATTCTGGGCACCTTCCCCACCGAATGAGTTTCGTGTCACAAGTTGACCCGGCCGAGATTAAGTGGGCGTTTAATTTACCAACTCGCACAGTCCTCCCAAAACCCAAAACACCTCCCCGTAAGTCCTTCTTTCCTACACCCTCGTCTATGAAAATACTGCGTTAATGTAATCCACGCTCCTGGCATTTCCGTATGCTTCCGTTTGCCTTTTCTTCATTGCTTTTTATTTTTTTGGGAGTTTTTTGTACATGACTTTGTCCTTGGCAGTTGCCTCGTGACTTTACCACTTGGATGATCTCTCTCCCCTACTGTTATGCTATTTTAGCTTAATCAACAAAGTAAATAAAATGTCCTGCCGACTGACCTCGGGGCGGAGGTAACTTTGTGCCACTTTTTTGCGAAGTCCTAGGGCTTAGTAAGTCACATACAAATATGTATTTTCGAATAAATTAGAGATTATTTTTTGGGCATAAATGCGGCTTACTATAAAAAAATATATTTTCGTAAGCTTCATTTAGCAAAGATGTTATGCCAGGGTAAACATAAAAAATAAGCCCAATCAGAAGCACATAGTACCGGAGAAACTTTCACAAGGACATAATTAATATTAATATTTATGGATACCCTATGCAAAACCCCCATTCAGAACTATACAAATTTTTAACCACAACCACAACTCATTAGGTTCTTTTGAATTCATCACACACATGTTACCATGGAAAAATCAGAACTAAATCAAGCGAATTCACTTTGATGTGCAATAACAATATGCCTCATATGGGGATGAAATGAGGAGCTAAGGCAAACCAAACTGAGAATTGAAAGCATAGCTTCTATTTTTGCTCCATTCCAGTTTCCTCGATTGCAAGGAGCTAGTTGTCAACACGGTCCCACGTAATTATAGAGTTGCAGGGCTTATATATCACCACACGAACTTTTACAACTATAGGAGCATTGATAGAACTTTACTATATATCAAATAAATTTTTATTCTTATTTTATTACTTTATATTTATTATGTTAAATGTAATCTTTTAAATATCTATTGTAGTAAAACAAAAACCATATTTAAAAAAAATGTTATCAAAAAAAATTCAAAACGAAAAATGTTTATAATTTGAGTGTGCCATTATCATAATCAGGTTTCTTATAAATTAATCCCTTTTTCATAATATTTACTTTTTTTTAAACTTAATAGTCTCTAGGACCTCTCCGAATACTAAAATGTCTTTCATTTGGCTTTAGAAAGATACATTCAGACATCATTTAAATGTTAGAGCTACAATTTTAACCGCCAATGTACCGCACATCGGAACACATTTCATTTGCTTTCTAATAATTTCTGTGGAAAATTCCGATTGCACATGTGGGACTTTATATTGGCAGCACTGTGGAAACCAATTAAAATGCTGCACTGGCGCTGATTATGGCAAACGACAACGTTGTGGGGAGTGGCGGTGTGAATAGATTGGTATGTGTCAACTAAGTGCAGTTAATTAGTGCGAAAATCACTTCAGTTGGCTTGGGATATTTTTCCCTTTCTCGGATTTCTTTTAAGCTTTTTTCGTGCCATTGTTGTTCTTGTGTTTGTTGTTGTTACTGCCACCTCCAAGGTTTTTCCTTGGCGAATTTTCACGTTAATTGCTCTGGGTCCTGCAATCAGCCGGAAAACAGTAGCAGAAGCCAGGAAAGGCAGCTGCTTGCCAGCGAGCTAAGCTACTCAGGGATTTACTCAATTTGTTGTCACTTCATTCCGCCATTTATTTCGGTTTACTTTCCTTGTTTTTCTTTCGTTTAAATTTAGACAATTATTATATCGCAGGGATAATGAAGTACATAAAAAGCTGGTTGATAAAGAAGTTTTAAGTGGGGGTGATAGTATTATTGAAATAATATTTATTAACAAATTAATTATTTGTTTGTATAAGTTTATATCTCGTTATTATTTTAATATGGGATAAATTTTTATTTATTTACGTTGCGAATTCCTTGCGTTCTTTAAGCAATCTTAATTAATAATCAAGCCTCAAATTTCAATAAATAATTTATTTTGGAAATGCAAATGACTTAAATAATTAAATACATCAAGAGCTGTTTGATAAAGAAGTTTTTTATGGGGGTAATATTATAATAAAATAATATTTAATAACAAAAAAAAATATTTTTTGCTTATATATGCAAATTAAAATACATTTTTTTATATTTATTTTTAGTTATGTCTTAATATGGGATAAATTTTTATTTAATTACGTTGCGAAATCCCCGAGTTTTTGAAACAATTTTATTAAATGTTCAAGCCTCATATTTCCATAAATAATTTATTTTGGTGCTGCAACTGACTTAAATCTAAGATCGGCTACAAGGGCAACATGATCTGATGGAAAAACAGCCGAAGGTATGGCAGTATTGGCCTTCAACTCCTCCTCAGTGGGCAGTGGAACGTACTTCAATAATTCAAATCGATCGTTTTGGTAAAATATATAGTCCAAACACCCCGAAAAAAGAGTGGTATAGTGGGTGAACTCCGGTGCCCCACAGGCCGACACCATTTTAAAAGGCTGCGAGAGCTCCACGTTTGAAACAGCCTGTTCGGTATTACTACTCCAATCTTCCAGACTTTCTTCCGCAAGTTGCTCGGTCATCAACTTGTAGATCCCACATTCCGGAACGCTATTAAAATCACCACAAAATATCAGACCAATATTTTGAGGGCTACTGATATTGAAATCCTGTACAGCTTTACTTATAATGTGCTCAATAAAGAGCATAGAAAATCCCATTTGCAGTAGTCGAATGTGATCGGCATCCGGATGAAAATATAAATGCGTGTTAGCCACAAGTACGTAGTTGTCCGTTTCTTTAATCCTTAGCAAACAAGTTTGTAGAGTTGTGGACCGATCACAAATTCGTTCTGCTAGTTGAGAGTTAACTTTGATCTTATTCCAAAGGCTTTCGAAAACGGGCAGTTTGGGGAGACTGGGTCCTAAATGCAGAACTTGAGAGTCCAATAGTTCAAAGCGCGATTTCCGAAAGAAAATGGCAACTCCTTCTGCACACGTTCCCTTCGGGGCCATAATGCCATGAAAATTATATGGGGGTTGTTCTAGTATTTCCTTTAAATCGAAATCAAAAATCCGTTGATCGACTTCTTGCAGGCAGATAAGATCCGAGTTATAACCAATGATTTCGTTGATGAATAATGGTTTCCTGTAGTCTATTTGTAGATATTTCGATGGGCAATATGAGAAGAGCGTACTTCCGGCGTAATCACTACTCGCATATAAATCGGCCAATAGATTGTAGCTTACCACCCGAATTTCGTTGGAATCACTCAAATAATTCGGAGTGTGTCTGTGGCGATTTTGAAATGGACAAAATCCTGGGGAATCCTGTACCGCAGAGTTTGCCACCTTTTCCACCACAGGACCATCTATTCCCTGTTCATTTCTTGGGGTTAATACGAATTTTAAATAGTAACCTATATCTTGTGGGGATACTAGGTATTGAAATCCTTCTCCGCAGACTTCCCATTCGGAATCTGTGAGTCGCTTAGCTTTGTACCATACTCCTTTGCTGTACTGACGTTCACCGAATTGAATCTGCACATTAGTCGGGTATATCACGAATCCAGCTAATATGCAGGAGGGCAGTTTTAGGGATGCAATCCATGGGGGATTAAAAACCATATCGTAGACTGTGTCCACCACCTGCAGCTTAACTCCAGTAAAATCTTTACTGAACAGTTCGGCAAATGTCATTTCATTAAAATTTACATCGTAATTGTCACTTAACAGCTTCACATTTATCTCAGCTGGGGGTTTTCCAGATTTCTTTGAGGTTTTAGCAAGTCTATTTAGAATATTGCTTTTAATTCGCGCCAATATAGCGTCTATGGGCTCATTCATTTGACGACGGAAATTAAATTCACGGTCAATCTTCAGATTAGAGTTCACAAAGCGGAATACAATGTCAAGCTCCTTGCTATCACTTGCATTTCTGAAGTATACTTTTTCCATATTAACAGAGCTTAAGGTGCTACAAAATCTGGTCAAAAATGTAGCTCTTGTCTGAGTAAAATTTCTGACAAATAAATCAGTGGAGCGGGTTTTGTGTCTTAAATAAGAAACAGCAAGACTTTTTGCACTTTTGGTAAAACCCATCAATCATCCAAGGTTCCAGGTCTGCGAGTTGAGTAACGATCGGTTGGGAAATGTCGGTGCTACAGATGGGACCTCCGTTTGTTTATTTATTTACTGCGCCGGTTTATCTACGAAATATTTACGTTAACCAAGTTCAAAGACTGCTCAGACTTTGTACCAACTCACGTACTTAGATATTATTTCGAAATCTGTCTGTTTGAAGTTCTTTTACACTTAATAAATCGTCTTTTTTACATCAAAACACAACGTCCAAACGAAGATTTTAGGGGAAACTGCCCCGATTTCGATAAAACTAAGAGAGTTTTTCACTTTTTCGCTCTGCCACGCTGTGATCAGCTGTTTATTTTACCATTCACACCGAACTGAACTACATGCGCCGCGAAGGCAAACAGCTGATCTTGAAAAAGCTTTCAGCAAACAGTTCCAACTTAAAAGCTTTTAGGCAAGCTTTTATATAAAGGTTTTCTTTGGTAAGAAATTAATCATGGGCAGATTTTTAGAATTTCTTCTTTTTCACATTCCATGTGTTATCATGGCTTAAAACATGTTTATATGTTGACCCCAAAAAAAATTATGCTCAAAAAGCAATTCACACTAAAAACCGGCAACTAACAAAATTATAAGTATTCATTAAAGTTGGATCAGAAAAAAACCCTAAATCAATCATTTTTGAAAGCCGTACTTAATTATAAATCAGTTGGAACGTGCTAAATAAACATTGTTATTATATTAGTATGTTTTAAAAAAAACCCTTGAATTTTATAAATTTAACTTGCACTATTTTATGTTCTAATAATTTAAAAGAAATGTTACTACCATCTTAGAATCTTCTTAGCAAGGGAATGCAGCGTTCCCCTATAAACTTTATTATTCCGAAAAATTACACGCGAACTCAACTATAAAACCTCCTATTTCACTTCAGGTGAAACTCGCTTCATGGCAAATATCATAAACATTAAGCTAAGTGTTACGATCCAAATGAGACATGTTATCCGACGGAAACTCAACTTTTGGCCAAGTTCAGAGAGGACAAGCGAGGCGACGGCCATAAAAATTCGAAACAGAAGCCAGATCATATGAGCGTATTTGAAAACGGGGAGTAATAGGAAGGGAGCACAAGTGCATAAAAAGCAGAAACAAGCCAAGAGATGACTTGGCCAGGGCCAAAAAGGAATTGGCTTGGCCCCGAAACAGAGTCAACAACTGTGCGCCACACAAGGGTCTGCCAAAAAAGATTGCAATACGGAAAAAAATCAAAAACAAAAAAAGTACGGAAAAATCGCATAAAACTCTATAAAGGACACGGAGGACCGAAAAGGACAACAACAAGATGACTGCCCGGCAAACGAAACCAATTGAAGAAATGTTGCTGACACCAAAAACGAAACTGCAGGAAGACGCCGATGATGAGGATGAGTCTGGGAATGAGGCTGAGCTCGAGGATGCAGAGAGTATCCTTGGGGCAGCGAGGACGTGGAGCGGAAGCGGTAAGGACAACAACGAAATTAGTTAGCACTTGAGAGAAAGCAGCTTTGGCTCAGGTCCAGGACTCGTTGCTGGCTTACAACACCTGCGGGTAAAGGAGGACCGGACTTCTCGCTCCCCTTCCTCATTGACCCGAACTAGAGATGTCAGAAAAAGCCTCGATTGAGACGGGATTTGGTTAAGAAGGTAAGAAGTGTTAGAAAAATTATTGTTTTAAGAAATAAATATATTTTTTTAAGGCTTATACAAATTTTAAGGTCTATTTTAAGTTGAGTATGTAATACATACACAGGAATACATACACAGAGAGAAGTATCCAAGAACATTGTTCTTGAATTGAGAGCATTCGTTCTTGAAAACCGTGTAAGTACATTTTGGTGTCAATATAAAAACGAAATGGTGAGAAGAGAAAAGTTAAATTGAGTTTATTTAACAACTTCTTGATAAGTGTACACTAAGGACTGAAGTTATAGTTTATTTGTACATACAATGTACTTAAATACCGCCAGTTCAACTTGATTCGGGCAAAATAAAAACATTTTCAGCTTAAAAATGTGCTTATATTTTTAAGAACATTTTCAACTCAGATGATAACGTCAGAATTTTCTGTGCACAGAACAAATTTACTTTTTTTTTTTAATAGAACACCTTAATAATATAAAATATAAATATAATGTTCCCAATATTTTAGATGATTATTTGACCAGAAAAATCACTCCAATAGTAGATTTTTTACCAAACGGTTGATTAAAAATAAAAATATAAGAAACAGAATATTTAAATGTCACTTGATTTATCTGTCAAAGCCCTCTCGTGATAATTTATCACGAATAGTACACAGCCACAATACCACATAGCACGCCCATCTCCAACAAACGTAGTGAAGGAAGATCTGAGAGGCAGGCAGCAATTAAATAGCTTCGAGCACTCCCAACTCAATTGCAGCAATTTCAATAACCGTTGAGAACACTCAAAGGAAGGCCAGTTGAGCAGGGCAGGCCAGGTCCTTGCGATAATCTGTCATGCAGTCGAGGAACCCCAAGAACACTGTGCCCCAAATGCACCCCCACACAAGATCCACTCCCCGTTCCATTCACTCCAGCGACAACTACAATATCCGCTTTGGGTCTCGACACTCGAGCAACTTTCTGGCACTCACCTATTTCACTTGCTGCAGGAATTTGTAATATTTCTTCTTTTTTTCTTATTACACTTGTAAAATTTGTAGCCGAAAGCAGGGAACTGGTCTATTTTATTCGTAGTTTTCCAGGGGAAACTACTTTTTATATTTTTTTTTAGGATATTTAATTATTATTGATAAAAGCATGAAATGTGACGCGGTACGGCCGAAAAGTTATTACATTGAGAATTTTGCCACCAAGAAGCCGAAAATTGATGAACTTTTATAAAATTATATGTACGCTACACAATCTGATTTAGAAACACTACGACTAAAAATTTTATTCCAATAACGAAACGATTTGACATGCTCTGAGATAAGCCTACTTCGATTAAAATATTTCAATTAACTTAAACGAAATAAAATATTATTTGAGCGGGAAATACCAAATTGCAGGTAAAAAAAAGTTTCACATAATATTATATTAACATATTACTAAATTTATTCACTTCAATCAACTCAATCTCATTCGTTCGCCAAGTCGAACGTTTGACATTAAAAATAAATGAATCAACAAATACAAAAGTTTTGCCAAGAAAGTCATTTGCTAAATTTGGCGAATCGAAAAAGAAAGTCAGGAGGGTGAGCAAAAAACCCCAAGAAATTCAATGAGACTGAAAATTTCCTGGCTCGTTGCCAATTGAAGGCAAAGAAACAAAACAAAACTCAAGTTTCTAATCAATTAAAAAATACAACAACCAGGGGGAGGCAAATCAAGAGTGGTAACGTTTTTCGGCAATAAATAAATTACAAGCAGCAGGCAGTCAAAGCGATTAAATAGAAGGGGGATTGGGTGAAAAGGGTGTGGGTGTCGAAGGCGGTACCAAACTTCACTACGTCTGCTGCAATTTTAATTACGAATGCGATAGGAGCAGGACGAAAGTAATAGAAAGGCGCAATGGAAACCATTCAGGGAGACATGAAAATTTGTCTCGACTTTAAGAATTCTCAGTATTTTCTAAGAACGTAAGCGTAAATAGAGATGTGTCCTTAAAGTTTTGGCTACACTACTGAATTTACAATTTTAGAATTTTAAAGAATCAAGCAATTCAAAAATTAAATTTCCAAAGTGAGTTACAATTCTCTGAATTGTCATTATCCGCAAAAATATTATCATCAACATGTCCTTCTGCAATTGTTTTTGGCATTCTTTAGTTTGTACCGGGGTAAGAAATGGTAAAAATAAAAATAATTATATTCCCAATGAACTAACGATTAACTTATTATAGTTTTATATAAAATACTGAGTTTTGTCATATGAAATGTATAGAACGAATATATATATTTGATTCATTCTAAGTGTAATTTAAGTAACATCCAGTTGTTTTTCATCCGATACTATGGGATAATATTATTTTTAATGCTTTGGGAGATTCAAAAATGCTTGGGCGGTGCTTACATGTTCGGATATTGTTTTAAAATGTCGATATATTACTCAGAATACCTTCCATCTGGAAGGCCTGATTATGTTATACTACTGTGTGCACTATGTAATCCTTACACCCGGCCAAACTGTTAATAAGGAATATTATTTGAGCGTTATGCGTCTTTTGCATGAAGCAAGTTTTCTAAAAAGAGTTCTTCCTCCGAATCCACCGTATTCGCCTGATTTGGTTCCAGTGACCAGGGACCAGGGAACACATTCCGAGTCGATTGAAAAGACAAACAAAAAAAGGCGCTGATGGCTATACCAGAAAGGGACTATTTGGCAAGTTTCGAGGATTGGAAAAAACGTTGGCATAATTGTTTTTGATCGGGAGGGGATGAAATTGTTTTAGAAGAATAAATAAAGATTGGCTTAGTTTTGTATTCAAAAGTTAATGTTACTCTTTTTATTAGTTATCTATCTTAAGAAATATATTACACCCACTTCCGTTCCTAACACAGGGTATAACAAGGCAAAAGGCACTAGCTCAACTAATCCTTTGGCAATGTCTTTGACAGTTGTCTTAGCTTGCACAACAAACGACAAAAACAATAACATCTTCATCATCATCATTATTTCCAGCACTGTGGGATGAAAAAGCACAATAAACAAAAGCAAACGAAGAAACAACAAACATTATCGCACATCATTATCGTTGTCATTCAGGGAGCGTTCCAGCTTAAAAACACACCCCACCCACCAGCCCCCCCATACTTATATATATATTTGCTTTATTTTTGTGTTTAGTTAGTTTTTATGAGCGTCATTATTTTCGCTTGCCATGGCGCTAAGCATCTTAAGTGGCTCCTCCCCCGCATTTCCCTCAATTTTTTGGTCCAGCTTTTCCTTGTGTGTTTGTGTTTGCATAGGCGCAAAATGTCTTCGTCAACTTTTGACGATTTTATAATTTAACTTTTCCCGGGAGCTTCTTCTGCTGCCGTCTTCCTCCTGTTTTCCCTCTTGCTAGTTTCGAAAACAACTTAATAATAAGTGAGTGTTGAGTGCTGGTTAGAGAAAAGTTGACTTGGTTAGAGGAAGATGGGTGCAATTAAGGTGGCAGGAGTAAGGCTGTGGGATTTACTTGGGTCTTTCGGGCTAGGCAATTACTATAGGGGATCCACCATGGTGAGCTGCATTCAGAAAGTTTTCAGTGCGGAAATAATTGTCAGGGATAACCATGGCAATTGTAAGGAAAAGAAAAACCTCTGCAAGGATCATTGTTTGGCTTTTGAGTTCTGGTTAAGTATGCGCTACATAGAGGCATCCCAAAATACAGATTTTACTTGTTTCCTATAGATTCCAAGAAACTAAAGCTTTTCGATATATTTAACATTCTTTGCCAAATATATAAAATGAATTTATATATAAGGAATTTCAAATTAAGAAAAGTATCAGAAACATTTTTTTCTATTTCTGCATTTTTAAAAATTTTAGTATCGCACAAAATTAGTGATATAATGAATTCCAATGGTGGTATACTTATAATTCCTATTTATGGAATATCTTCCTATGGGATTTCCCAATTTGAATAAATTAAATTAAAATAGTTCGGTTTAAGAAATTCAAAGTAACTTCCTTCATCTGGTAGTGAAATATGTCCCATCTCCATTCAACAGATGAGCTTACTCACCTGTTAACCTTACCCGAGGCTTAAAGGCTGTTCCCAAACTTATTTAAAGGCTTAAAAGTCTATTCTAAGTTGGCTAATTTCATAAAGGCAAGGTCTGACTGGCCATCAGTAAAGGCCTAAAGTTGTACATATATGCCAAGGAATATGTACGCATTGCATGTATATAGGATAAACATCATCATCAATATAAATTTGTTTTGTCAGAGCTGGTTTATTTTGTAAATATCAAACAAATGGCTTGGAACATAAGTGAAACATATGTTAAAAGCTAGAGAAAAAGAGTACGAAAAGCGTAAACAAGCAGCTTTTCATGCTTGACATGCGTTACAGAAAAAATAAGAAGCAAGAACCCACAGATACATCGGGGACATATTACAAAAGTCAAGCAAGTAAAAACAATGAAAAGACATACATACAAATTACGTGTATAAAAAACTGAAAACAATGACAATTCACAAAATAAGAAAAGAACGTTGGAGAGCTCCATCTTAAAAGATTGCTAACAAGCAAAGGGAAAAATAAAAATCGTTAAGCTCCTTTCTTCCCCGCCCCACCATCAAGAATGCAATTTATATGCGAAAGGCTGAGACCACGCCCCCTTTCGTTACCATAATAATGAAACATCTATAAATTGTCAGCCAGTTCTGTCGTTTCCCGCTCCTTAGCCTCCCCCTTCGGTTTAGCGATGTCCTCTCGAGGACCATAAATAATATTATTATGGCTCCAGGAGGCAACTTGTATTTGTCAAAGCAAACAAAACTGCTCTCGGTTTGAGTGGGTGTGTGTACGAAGAATCCTTCCAATACCCCCCAGTCGAGTCCCTCCCCTTGTTAACGGCATTATTATTGGCAGCCATTATTCATGCAACAAGTGATGCTCAATGGCAGAGCAGCAACTTCCGTCTAATTACGGCTAATTGAATGGCTCGAAGTTCCGGGATTTGTCAATTGATTTGTAGAGGGATTTCCGATAAGTATGGCAGAGTATATAGATGAAATATTGCAACTAGCTTTGCGAAATATGTTAAACGATTTGAGAAGTAATTTGAATAAAAATTTTTAGTATCATAAAGAATCATATAAAGAACATTTTATTCCAAACGGAAACTAAAAGTCAAGTCATATTATGAAATATTTACTATTTATTTACTACTAATTTACTACTTTAAAAATATATACTACTTTTATTTAAAATAGTCAAAGCATAAATCCATATATGTACCTACACAAGAACCTATAGATTTTTGGTCTTTTAAGCAAATTATAAAATATACCTTTTAGTAAGATGGCATTTTTTTCGTACATATTTGTTGCCCAAAACAAAAACTATTATTCTTTAAGCTTGGAGGTAAAATTATCCAATGAAAAATGATTGAACAAAACTTATTGAAAAAAAAATTGATTTCAATAGAAGTTTTTCCAAAGGATATTACCCATAGCAATATATTTTGCATAAGTTAAGTTTATTAAAAAGAAAATCATAAACTAATGGAAAATTATAGCCTCTACCGTAAGCGGTAGAGGTTAAATATTTAAATTGCATTGTATTGTTTATACAAGCAATTTGTATCGTTACACCTCACATGATCCTGGTCATGCAAAATATATGCCACAAAATAGGCCACCAAAATCTATTAATACACATGTGAACTTTGCACATTTTTTATTCGTTTAAGGCTTTTTGAGAAACACCAACCACCAAACAAAAACTATTTAATAAATTTATCAATAAATTGAATAAAAACTTGTTAAATTAATCTGTCACCGGGGAAAGGTGATATGCATATAACAACATTTTAATCAATTATGTCGCCATAAAAAAGTAAACACAATGCTGAGGATAAGGAAACCTTTATTGGCACATCGACAGCAAATAAAAACCACAGCATCAACATCAACAACAACAAATAGGCGAAAACAGATAACCCAAGCAACAAAGATTTATTGCATATATAAGCACATTTATACAGTTTTATTCACGTATATTCGCTGATTTATAGAGCCGAGTTAAACCCATGTGGTTTA